CCCCCCCGCCGATAGCAGGCCTCAGTTAAACGGTACAGCGAGTCTCACCTTTCTCGCTTCTTTTCCCCGAGCAGGGTCTCCAGGAGTCCGGCTGGACATGATCTCCCACATGGAGCAGGAGGAAGGCCTGTGGGTCTCCCGTCTCCAGGCCTACCCAGGAAAGCCAGTTCTGAATAGCGCCTGTCCAGGTAAGAGCCCCGCACCATCGTCTGTGAACCTGTCAGGGAGAAGAGTAGAGTTCCAGGATCCCCAGCTCCTACAGGAACGTACGAGAGCGGTTGTCCTGGATCAGACCAAAGTCCACCTAGCTCAGCGTGCTGGCTCTGACAATGGCCAGTATTGGATGCCCAGAGAAGAGCAGGCAAACAGCGTGAACAAGCAGTGGTGTTTCCCTGTATGCTTCCTCAGCTCCAGGTCTTCTGTGGCTTCAGAAACTCCTGAGCCAGAGGTGGTGTGTTGACATTTCATAACCCTCTGTGCATTTTATTGCTGTCTGCATCTGTGGATGTTTTTAGCATCCATGCCAACTTGCAGTGAAGAGTTCTGCAGCTTATTTAGCTGTTTTGTGAGGAACTACCCTCTTTGCTCTGAAGTTGCCTTCTAGAAGTTCGCTTAATGCCCATAGTTATTGTTTTGGAGTAAACAGTGCAGGGCAGATCCCTGCCCACCCTCTACAGGCCACTTGTGTTCTTATAGACCTCGGTGGTAGCCCCCATCAGCTGTACCTTTTCCAGGCTAAACAGCCTGTTGGATAATTTCCTCTACAGAAGCTGCTCCAAACCTGGTCATCCATGTTACGTCTCTGTATCTTTTTTAGCACTACTAATATTTCTGAGTTGAGGAAGTTATCCCCCTGCTTACATGCTATATTCAGGATGTAGGCTTACCATGGGTTTGAGCAGCAGACAGAATTACATTGTATTTTATTGTCTATTCTTCTCCCAACAGTCTCTAACATTTGATAAGCTTTTTTGTTTGCCCTGGAGCTGTGGTTTTCATCAGCCTGTTCTAACTTCAAGACGCTATTCCTGAGTGATACCAAGAGCATCCTAGTCTAAGTGCTGGGTATAGAGACTTTTTCTTTCCGCATGTCTTTGCATTTATGTGCAATGAACTTCCCTGTCATTCCCTTCTCTCCTGGTCAGTCAGTATCCCAAGGCTCTGCTGCAGTTCTTTACAGTCGGTTCTTGTCTCAGTAATTCTGAATAACAGAATCATCATCAGATGTTTCCAGTTCCTCTTTCCTTCCTTTGCCAGTTTATTTAGGGTCTCTCATCCCATGGCAGCTTAGTTTCTTCAACAGTTTTGGTGAAGGACAGACTATCTTTTGGGAATGCCTTTGGAGTCCAGACCTCCCTTCTGCTAAAAGCAGATGACACCTCTGAAGAACTCAAAGAAGTTTGTGAGGTGAGACATCCCTTTTCAAAGGTCATATCTTTCCCAGTATGCCCTCTCCGGCCATATGCCCATTAACTTTATCTTATTCTGGCTTCTGTTCGTTTACTTGGCTGTTGGGCTTCCTGGTCCTTGGATCTCCCCTCGAGCCCTATGTAAAGATGAGCACTGCATCAGCCACCTCCCAGTCCCCCAGCAGCGAGATACCACATTCAGTAGTCCAGCTATGTTGTGAATTTGTGTGAACAGCTCTACTGGGATAGACTACAGGTCCATATAGCTCAGAGTCCCATCTCATGGAATGGTCACAAGCAGGTGCCAGGGAACATTGTGCCTCCCCAGCACACTCGACTGTCCTCCAACTTTCTGAGGCTTATTTGTGATGGTGGTGTCTAATCTTTAATAGTTCTCAATGGTTTCTCTTCCATGAACTCTGATTTCCGTGCCTGAGACCATTGCTATGTCCTCCTCGCTGCTGTGAGACAGGGCAGAGCATTGGCCAAAAGTTAGGCTGCTGCCGGCTTCTCTTGAGAGAGAGATCTAGAGGTATGTTTACAGTGATATTTAGGTTCTATCCTGATGTGTACACTCGCCCTACTTAACTGGAGCTGCCACATTCCTCGGATCTCCCAAGCTTATTCATTTTGGCCAGTTCAGCCTTTCCCTTCCAGTATTAACTCTTCAGCCTAGTGATCTTTCTCTCTCCAAAATGTCCAGGAGTGGCTTCCCCTCTCACCTTGTGAGAGAGAGGTCACACCCTTATGCTTCTTCCACTCAAAATGCCTTCAGTGAGTTCCAGTCATCATAATTTTGATCAAGTCCTTTACACTCAACTTGCCTAGGATGCCGGAGAAGATAACCAGTAGCTCAGAAGTAACAGAAATGATTGTGGAAATTTCATAGACGAGAGCTTGAGCCATGGCTATACTCATTGTAATAAAGGAGCTTGAAACTTCTGACCTTCCCAAAGAAGTGCAGAACACCATAAAGACTTAACTCTTGCATACTTCAAAGGCTCCTTTAAGTACGAAAGAAATTCTGTGCAAGCCCAAAGCCAGGGCAAGTGAAGGATATCTCTTTGGGCACAGCAGCAATACAATAACTTCACTAGCTCCATCTACTCAGTAAGTTTGACAAACAGGTCAACAGCTTCAGGCCAGCCTGTCAGAGATGTCCTCTTCTTGTCCTGTCTTGGGATATTACCTTTCTCTTTTGCTCCAGGCCTGGACGGGAGTAAGTGCAGACCAATGGAAATGCCCCCATGGTGAATAGCAAAGTTCCAGTTTCTGTTCCTCTCAAGGGGCCATTCTAATGAAAACTAGCTGAGGGAAGAACTGGAATCACTACCACACCAAACTGCTGAGAAAGGTATCTCAGGAGTTCACTGTGAAATCGTGTCATGGTGTTTTCTTATACCGATTAGAAAGAGGAAGATTAAATACATACATATGTCATGTATGGGTGGGTGGGAATTCTAGACTCTCCTTCCTTTATTGCATACTTAAGGTTCAGGAGTGACCTTCCTCTTTGAAGGCATGAACTTCCTTATTGCAACTCTGCCAGACCGCTGGAACCGCCTGTGGTTTGTACATCAATCTCTCACTATTGGTATATGTTATCTGTTTATTTTACAAGATAGAGTTTTCAGAGAATCAGGAGGTAGCAAATGAATCTTTATACAAAGCATACTTGTCTACCCCGCTAAGGGGAAAAAAATCTGGAGGTCTCCATGCCTATGGCTTTAGTCCTCAAGCTGTTCCATACTTTTGGTTAAAACATAGCCAACAGCAACTCACCCTTCACCCCTGAAAGTCCATATAGTCTATAGAGATCATCTGGAAATCTATTAGTCTGATTGACCGGTCTTAAACTTGGATGTGATGCCTCTCTCCAGAGGTGTGTGTTGCCATTTCTACACCCCACGTACATCCCTCTGACATCTATTTACCCTTGCCCGACAGCAAAAAGGGTGCATGCTTCACAGGTCCTGTTTTACCAGTGATTTCATGCATAAGCCCTCAGTAAGCCTGCAACAAGCTACGTTTCTCCACTGACAGCAAAGCCCACAGCAATATTGAGGGTACATGCTTTCAAACTGGTTAGGATTGCTCACCAAACCACACTTCAGCAGTGTGCTAGAAGGAGTTGCTGCTCTGTGTAAATACCCTGGAAGCGTCTTGCAAGCGTCTTGTCTTGGCAAAGCTTTCTACTGACCTAGCATTGACTGTACAATGTAGATTCATAAAGTTTATGCTTCTGTGAGACTTCATGTGAATAAGAGGACAGGTAATTTGTTCATTTCCTGTGCCCTAGGAAGCAGTGATAACTGTATAGCTAGTATTACTTCCACTGACATGCACTTTTTTTCATGTTTCACGTTTATCAGTGTCTAATGTGGAACCAGCCACAGAGAGTCTCCAGTGGGCTTGGCCCTTGAACCCATATTTCACCAACAGTGCCTTTCGCAATGGATTTGTTCTGCACTGATGGAAAGTTACTTTTCTTCTGCTCAAAGATGGGCATAAGCCTCTCCAGGTGGCCTGCATGTCTCATGCCTTAGGGCCAATGTCTTCTCTGTGCATTTTCTCTCCCCCCTCTCCCCCCTCTCCCCCCTCTCCCCCCAATACCTGCAGCACAAGTCAGAGCATAAAGGTTTCATCTGTTGTAATCCAAGTAACCTTCTGCTGAATGAGACAGTTCTCTATGGCCCTTCTCTGACTCTCAGCCCAACTTTTAGTAACACTTCCAGATATAGTATCCTGGAAGAGCAGCTTTTTTCCTTTCAAGCTCAAAACCTTTATTTCTAACGCTGTGGGAACTGCCTGGCTTTGTTCTGCTTGTTGAGCATGCTCTATACAATACAGTGAGTCTTTTGACAGAGCAGGAGATCCTCTGTGGGGAAGCCTACAAAAACAAGTAGAGAATGTTACAGAGCCCAGCATGATCTTGACCTTTAAAGGCTCCTCTCCCCCAAACCTGGGCAGGAGGCTAGTATTAAAACTTTCTAGACTTTCCACCAACTCTGTATGAATCCCGTTTGCTGAGATCTTGCTGTGTCTACACAGAGTATTCTCCTACCTCTGCCATTTCAAAAGTCCTAAGAAGGAGAGCCTTACACAGGTCGTTCCTCTTTAGAGGTGTTTTTAAGTTTTCCTCATCCTCTTACTTTCTAGATTACCAATGTTACTTGAGATGTCTGGGGACCATTTGAGTGGCACATGCTTCAAACAGTCCCTCCCTTCTTCCTTTCTCTGAGCAGACTTGAAAAGCTTTTTTCTCAAAGCTCATGAGCATGGGTCACCCAGTTCTCTTTGATCTCTTACCAAACAACAAATTTGCACGTAGTTCCTGATATCTAGCCCTCTCTATACAAAGGACTGGCTTTTTTCTGCACACTTCAAATATCCGTCTTCTTGCAGTGTGGAGGCCAAGCCAGTGCAAGGAGTTCTCACACCCTGAGCCAGGCAGCCTGATCAGGTGCAGGGGTGACAGCCACAGCCTGGTCAGTGGTCATCAGGATCTTCTGTCCATCTTTTAGATGGAGCACTGCTGCCCCCACATCAGGACTGGGCTTTGCACTGCTGAGTCCTCCCAGGGGGAGGAAGAGCTTTGTCTTACGTGACTTTCAGTGTAGTTCTTTGGGATGTCTGGTCTGTATTGAAGAAGACTTTGTACACCTCTAACATCTGCTTTAACTGAGAATCTGATTTGGCAAAGGAACAGAGGTGTCACATGCTGCTCTGCCCCACAAGCCATCCTTCCTTATGTACAGGCACTGCCTCGACAGTCTCTGTGAGTTATAAGCTTTGACCTTGTATGCGGAAGGCAGGATTCCTTATCTGGGATCATCTATGATGTCAAAAGGACCTAAAAGCAGAGCAGAATTGGCTGCTTTTCTGGCAGGCGCTCAAGACTGACTTCATGGCTTCGTGCAGTTTGTGGCAAAGTCAGTAACAATCTGGACTGACTGCTGTGGAGCAGGGGCTGTGCGTTGTTTGCTGTTTGTGTCCTTAGAGGGTAAAGCAGCAGCTATCTCCCCGCAACCCCTCCTGCAGTCCTAACTGTGCTGCTCAGGCTTGCTGGTGGTGACCTTCTGAATTTCTCTCTGTGGACTGTCTGTACTTCATTAGTCGTCAGGAAACAGTCTTCTAAATGTCGAAACGGGGATTCAGAGCTGAAATTTCACTGTGGTTTTGGTTTGACGAATTAATAAAATAAAGTTGATTCTAGTTAATTCTAGTAGACTCCAATTATTGCAAGGCATGCAGGGCTCCTTCCAGGGCTTGTTCCTATAACGCTGCAAAATACCCTGAGTAGGAGGGAAGTATCAGTAGACTGATAATAAGTATAAAAACTCCTGAACTTTCAGAATTTAGCCCCTTTTGATCTCCCCTGCACAAAATTTCCTTTTTTGCCTGTGACTCCTCTCTGGATTCTTGTTTTGTTGCAGCTGAGGATAGGATTGTGAGCAAGAAAGAGGAAAATCCCCACCAGGGCATTCCTCGGCCAGTGGATCCAGATTTACTATCGGGACTCTCCAAGGAGAACAGTTCCCAGAGTCCTGAACAGGACCCTGTTCACCCACGCAGGTCAGAAAGGGTTCAGAGACCTCCCCTGGGGAAGAGGCAAAGCAGAGCGACGCTACGTGGAAAAAGTTTCAGGAGGTTGCCAGACCCCAGCCAGCAGAGAAATCCTGCTGCGGGGAGGCTGACGATATGTGGGGACTGTGGGAAGAGCTTCCGGGTGAGCTCCAACCTGGTCCAGCACCGGAGAATCCACACTGGAGAGAAACCCTTTGGCTGCGCCGAGTGCGGGGAGAGCTTCCGGCAGCGATCGCATCTCATCCAGCACCAGAGAATCCACACGGGGGAGAGACCCTACGAGTGCTCCGAGTGCGGGAAGAGCTTCAGTATGAGCTCAAAGCTGATCCGGCACCAGATAACCCACACGGGGGAGAAGCCCTACAAGTGTGCCGAGTGTGGAAAGAGCTTCTCTGGGAACTCGCAGCTGGTCCAGCACCAGCGAGTGCACACGGGGGAGAAACCCTTTGAGTGCAGCGACTGTGGGAAGAGCTTCAGCGTGAGCTCGGCCCTGACACGACACCAGAGAATCCACACAGGGGAGAAACCCTATGAGTGCGCAGCATGTGGCAAGAGCTTCAGCCAGAGCTCTGAGCTCATGAAGCACCAGCGGGTGCACACAGGGGAGAAGCCGTACGAGTGCTCCGAGTGTGGGAAGAGCTTCACGGTGAGTTCTGCCCTCATCCAGCACCGGCGGTTCCACATGGGTGAGCGCCCCTATGGATGCACCGAGTGCGGAAAGAGCTTCACTGTGAGCTCCCACCTCATCCAGCACCGCCGCTTCCACACTGGGGAGCGCCCCTACGAATGCACTGAGTGTGGGAAGAGCTTCCTGTGGAGGTCGGCCCTGCTCCGGCACCGCAGAGTCCACACAGGGGAGCGGCCCTATGCCTGTGCCGACTGTGGGGATAGCTTTCGGCAGAGTGCCCACCTCATCCAGCACCGGCGGATCCACACTGGGGAGCGCCCCTACGCCTGCACCAATTGTGGGAAGGGCTTCACCGTGAGCTCTGCGCTCCTCCGGCACCAGCAGATCCACAGGGGAGAGGAGCCCTAGGAGGGGTGAGTGTGGGGAGCAGTTGTGTCCGATACCCTGTGCGCTTTCCTGGGAAAGTGAAGCCCAGGGTCTCTCTCCTTTCAGTCTAATAACCACCCTGCTTTTGGAGGGTGAAAGCAATTTCTTTTTAGGAGAATGAGTGCTAAAAGGTAGAGACGGAAGAAGAGGAGAGTCGGTGCAAGGAGCTGAATTGGGAGTCTGGGGAACAGTGTGTGACAGAGCAGAGGAAGGAGGTGGTGTTCAGCGGGATAGCTCCTGGGAGAGGGAGAGGAACAAAGCACTTTGAAAAGGCTGCAAGATGTTTGGTGGTATATTTAAGAGAAGGGAAGTATCTTGTCTTTTGTCTGTGCGCACAATGTTTCAGACAATTTACAGAGGGAACTAAATGGACCATCTGAGAGCGTGCAAAGCTCTAGTTAGCAAAATGAAAGCTCTCACGTTCCCTTCCTGCTACTGCTTTGTTTAGAGGCTCTGAATTACCTACTCCAGGCCGTGGTCTGTGCCTGTAGCACAGAGAAGCTGTAAGCCTGATGTGCCTCAACTCCTCCCTGCTATTTGCCCACCCGAGCTGTGTCCAACAGCACGCTCGGTCACAGCACGGCAGAGTCCTGCGTGGTGTGCTGCATTCACAGGACATCAGTCTGAGGCCTTAGCCCACCCCTCTGGGGAGCAGAGCCAGCAAACACTGGTGGCAATCGCTGCGCAAGTGTGTAGTACTTGATGCCCACCTTGGTAATGCCCAGAGGCCTCTGTGGGAACTGCATCTGCGCAGTTGCTGAATTTGTGCTACTCCTGCTCATTGGGTTTCTGCTTGGAGAAGCCAGCCTTTCTCTAGAAACCGTGTGGAAGGGCTTCCTGGCGTTACAGGTTTGAGGATCTTTTTTTCCCCCCCCCCAATGTGGGAATTGAATGTTCCTTCTGAAAATATGGGAGTAAGAACTGAATTGTATGTTAATGAGACTTAATTATTTCTAAAATGTCCAAGTGTCCAAATAAAACCTTTTAAAAAATAGCATTTTCCCCATTTTCCCAGCTGTTTTGCCACCACAAGCAGAATCTTGTATAGTTCTTGTCATTCAGCAGCAGTGCTTGACCTCTCTGTAGCCATTAGATGTTGATGCTTTCGAACACCAGCAACGGGGAGTAATCATGAACATTGCCTTATACAGGGTGCTATGTGGTACAGAGCAGGGTTTTCCCTAGCTCAGTACTGCTCGAACCCCTGAGCCTTGCAGTGAGGGTTTGCCAGGAGCCCTATACAGCGTAGTTTGTGGCTCTGCTCCCTGTGCAATATGCCCTCACCCCTCCTCGCAAGAGACTCCTATATTGATGGAGGAAGTTGCATGATACCGGATGGTGGGTTTGAGCTGCAGCATCACTCTCCTCACACACAGATATCTAATTTATTCTTAGGAAGACACCACAGTAGCCAGCTCCCTGCAGTTTAGTACTTTCCATGGTATCTGGCTGGCTGGTGAACTGCTGTCCAGTCTAGAAACCTTCCAGCACCAGCTGAGACCAAGAGATCTGCCAGGCTTGGCCTGGGGAGCAGTGTCGGTACTAGAGCGCCTGGATGCAAGGGTCACCACAGAGGAGGCGGCAGTGAGCATTTCGGAGGGTCTCACTCCTGACCCTGGAGGATAAGAGTCCACGAGGGATGTAGCAGCATGCAGACGTCCCAGGGCCGGACAGCGGTTTTACTGCTTTAAAAGCAGCTTATAGAAAATGTGGGGGATGCACAGGGGTCATGATGGAGGGACAAAACAAACCCAGCTTCTCCCCAGCCACTGAACAGGGGCCAGGCTCACCCAGCTACTGCACAGCCACTCCGCAGAGGTGGGAGCGTAAAACCCAAGCAATGTTTGTGTCTGTGTGCTGACTGTGACGGCACGTTGTGCTCTCTTTGAATACTGGTCTGACGCTGAAGATGGCAAATGAAAGGAGCTAGTGCCTGGTTTGTCAAGTCCAACACCTGCTAACGAGGAAGAACGTGACAATAACGACGACAGTGAATTTTGTTTTGATGGGCCAGGTTGACGTGTTGGGGAAGCTCCCATCTGAAAGGCTGGACGTGCAAATGCTTCCACCTGCTATTCTGCCTTTTCATGCTGATCCTGTTTTACATGAGGAATTCACTGAATGATTTATTCTTTCTCTCTAAAATAGAGCAGCTAGAGAAGCTCACTAATGGCCTGGCCGGGGGCTGTCCAACTTTTGGTTTTCACGTGATGCCCTAGTTGTGTTCATGGTTTTATTTCTCTGAAATATGTTCATTTCCTACTGTATTTTTGCCTAAACCATCTCTCCCTGGTGCTCTGCTGACCCCTTTTCTCAGCATATCTTCTCCAAGTTTCTGGCTCTGTAGCTAAAGCCACTGAACCTCAGCCCCTAGACTCTCACTGTAAAATCACCCACTTGCCTTTGTGCAGGCTGTCGCGTATGTGGTGTTACTGGCCAGAATAGCTGCCTGGTCTGGTAGGATCTGAAGATCCACTACTGTGGTGTTTCATAAAACCCTCTGCCCTGCACACGCTGCATGAATCAGAAAGCAGAGCATGGACAACTTTTTCCTACCTCCAGACTTACTAGTGGCTCCTGTGCCCAGAGCTGAAGCCAGACCGTAGAGCAATTTTACATTTCTTGTGGAGCAAGTTAATGTCACGCGGGGGTAGAGCAAGCACTGCCAGGGAGCCGCTCAGAGCCTTGCCTCTCCTGCTGCTTTCACACAGTAAAACAATGAAATAGCCCCAGACTGACTGGGGAATTGAGATGCTTTCTCAGCTCTGCAAAAACACCACAGGCAGACTAAAGGGTTATACAGGCAATATATACAAGCAATGACAGAAAAATGATTCAGTGGTGCCTGAGGCCGCTGGATAGACAGGCAGGAAATCACAAAACTCCATTCAGCAGGGAAGGGGGAAACATTAAGCCTGAATCCTAACTCAGAAGCACGGCCAGGCCACAAGCAAGAGCAGAAACTGAAGCTTTGCACGCCAAGCAAGGTGCGTGGTAAAACCTGGGCCCGAAGGCAGCGCCCCTCCCTGCATAGGAGGAGGGAGGAAAAAACAGGATGGGATAGTTGTAGAGGGCATCCCTTTGGTGGGGTGGTTTTCTTCTACGCAGAACAGGGTTGGTGCAGAAATGGGCCAGTGATTAGAGCTGTTGGGGCTGCATGGTAGCGAGACACGTGCTGTGTGCAGGGGGAGTCCAGCATGCCTTTACGTCCTGAGTGCTGAAAGCCGGTGTCAGTTCTCCCTGCTTGCTCCTAAAATGCCCCATAATCTCACTGGCTGTACATTTTATGTCGGCTGAACATGCTGGCAACACTTTTCAAGAGAGGAAGCTCCTTGCGATGACTCTTGTCCCTTTATAACATCCTCATTTTCTCAGGCTCCTCTGAATTCCAGCCCTGCCACTGGGTTCATTTAGCTGAAGAGGCGAGGCCAGAGCAGCTCCACGTGCAGCTTCCAGCGAGAAGGTGTACGCGCGTGCCGTGAATCACAGCCCTCGGGCGAGGCGGGCGATGGATGCGTCTATAGCCAGCGCTTTGCAACTCCTGGCTCTGCTCATTGCTGGAGGCTGGGGCTGAAGAGGCGAGGCCAGAGCAGCTCCACGTGCAGCTTCCAGCGAGAAGGTGTACGCGCGTGCCGTGAATCACAGCCCTCGGGCGAGGCGGGCGATGGATGCGTCTATAGCCAGCGCTTTGCAACTCCTGGCTCTGCTCATTGCTGGAGGCTGGGCACACACT